ACATATATATATATATATTGTATACACATTAATATATATTAACAAATAATGCATTATATTCAGAGAAGAGATGTTCAAATTAATAGAAAAAGATAATAATGTCATTAAATCTCACTAAGCAAAATATATTTCCTGATAGCAACTAATTTTGACTCATATTCAAAGAATAAAAGTATTCACAGTGAGAGATGGAATAGGGAGGGGGCAGAGAGGAAGTTCTTAACAAAAACTAGGAACATTAGGAGAGAGACAATTGCAGTCCAAGAAAGATGAATACACAAATATCATTTAGTTGGGCAGGATATAGTTGCAAATTAATGCAGACGGAAGTGACACACTATGACACAATAAAAATTATTCATCAATGGACTAATTCAGCAAGGAGTATAACATATTGAAATAATCTTAAAATGGTAAGCACTATGAGAGATTTAGATAGGAATATTAGATTTAAAAGACATTAAAGTGCTTTGCTTGATATATTTCAATAAATAAAAAGATACCTGGGGAGGTGCCATAACTTGTTAGTGGTAGAGCCCTGGTGATCAAGCCTCTAATCTAGTACTATTTTTATAATACCAGTCAAATCCCAGGAAACGCCCTATCATCTGTTCACCTTCCCAGTTGCAGCCATGCAACAAGCTGGCAGTTAATGTTTCTCTGTATTACTAATAACTCCCTAGGCCATAACAGACACACCCAGGAACACTGACTCAGGGAGGAAACAAGACCTGAACTCAGGAGAGGCGGTACAGAGCACCTCAGGAATTACTCTGCCCTAATTCTCACTAGACTTTTGCTTATGTATCTTCTTGATTTTATATTTCACAAGACTAAGATTCACATCTCATAGAAGCAGCCAGCCTAGAATTAGGAAACAGAGAGGCAAATAGCATTCTGGTTAGACATTTACATATTCCAAACTATCAAAAGTTATAATGCATGGATATCTACCACTGAGTGCCTAGAAAAAAAATTACTTTCATGAAAGATGACTTTAGAGTAATTAGAGAGGATACTTTCATAAGAGGTATTCATAGTAATTAGGAATACATGCATATATCATCTTGGGAACAACTCTTGAGAGACAAATAATTATCTGGGAAAGTCTTGCTAGACGCTATCAGACTTTACAAAGTTGACCCAAATATGTCAACCGCATAGTGAAAAATAAAAATAGGTTAGAAAAAGGGCCAGTAAATAAAAATATGGCCCTTTTAGGGCACAAGTAAGATGTTACCTGCAATTGGATTTTCCCAAAGGAAAATTCTCAAATAAAATATAAACATACATAAAAAAAAGAAATAAAAAAAAGCAAAGGGGAAAAAAAAGCAACCCTCTAAACAACTTCTAAGTGACAAGGGACAAAAATAAAAAGAATCAATAAGAACAAATCTATGATTTTCTAAAATATTATAAAGACTATATTCTTCTTTTAAAAGCAAATAATTTAATGATTATATTACTTAAAGTAGAAATTGTGAAGATTAAGAACATAACCTCATTTAAATTGGAGTTAGGAGGGCCTACAGGGGAGTTCTCATGCACTACCTCTCCTTGTCAATTCCCATCTCCAACAGGAAGATGTTTTTCTCCTACTACTCCAGCAGGAAGAGGGATTGTCTCCTGGCCCAGCAACCACTCAGCCAATGACAGACTATTATAATTCAGCCAATGAAAAGCCACTATACTTCAAACTCTCATTTTCCTCCAATGGACTCTATTTACAACATCCCCTTTGAGTCCCCCATTCCCTCTATAAAAAAATATTTGTCTCCTTTGTACTCTGAATTTGTGCATGGTTTGCCATTAGACTACATGTCCCAAATTGCTGTGCATTTCTGTCCCTGAATAAACCCATTTTTGCTGGAGAAATCTGGCTATCTATTTAAGGTCAACCCATCAAACACATATAAATTAGTGAAATTCAAAACCAAAATATTTCCAGTAAAGATAAATAAGATATAGTATCATTTTTATTTACTTTCTCAAGGGACTAGAATGTTAACTTGGTGGTTATGGTCAGACTTCAGATGTTTGGATTGATAGGAAACTTGCTTTTGGATTCTTTTTATTATTTTAAGATTTTTCAATAATATGGCATTTATATTCAGAGTTCCTTATCTCAATTGCAAACGGAACAGTGAAAATGGATTTAAATTTTTCTCTGAGATGGCTTGCTGGTTCTGTTTGCTGGTTTAGAGCCCTACTTGTTTGACCTCAGACCTCCACAGTTGCGTAATGTTGATTACCAAAAAATAAATCCCTGAGAAATTTGAGGGCATGGAACTTTCTTCTATCTATTAAAATACAGAAAATAGTTCAAAATCTGAAAGTTTATCCTGATAACTAATAGGCTTCCACTGACTCTGAAAGATTATAAGAAACTAGCTTATCTGCTAAGCAAATGATAGTCATGAAAACTGTGCTTAATCTTTAAAAAGCAACGTGTTCTGACAAGCTTTAATTTCATAATAATATTTGCTCTTATTTAAAAAATTATCACAGAAGCTTGTCCAGTATGGGCTAGTAAATAGTCTAAAATCTTGGAAAAGAGGGTCAATAACCTCAAAAATCTTTAAAATAACAAAGATCTTAAAAATCTAATAGAAGACAAAAAGGGTAATTGACCATACCTTCGCTACACTTCCCATTGGCTAATCAGGGCAATATGCAAATTAACCGCCAACAAAGATGGCGGTTAATTTGCATACTAGGCTCCAAGCGGTGGAGTAAAGCCAAACGTACCTGAAGCTGGCTGAGCAGCGAGGCCTCACGCCCCCGGGATCGGCAGAGCAGCAAAGCCTGACGGCTGGGGGTGGGGGTGGGGGCTCTGGCCAGAGCCCAGTCAGAGCAAAGGCCTGGGTCCCGGGTGCTAGAGGAAAACTGGTGCCAGCAGCCAAGGGAAGGGAAGGCCTATTGCATGAATCTCTTCGTGCAACAGGCCTCTAGTATTTAAATAAATATAGTGACATGAAGAAATTTCCAAAAATACTTCAGAAATATATATTCCATCCATATTATAGCTCATGTGACCTCAATATTTATTGCAACTGGGGAGAAACTAATACATTCTTCAATGCTTTGAAGGGAAAAACAACACTAAGTTATCTATTATGATATACATTCAATTGCAATGTATGCAATTTGCAGAGTTAACATAATTATCTCTGCAAATTGAATAAAGGTAAAAATTCTTTCTTATTTTATGTCACTTTGATTTGGTATAAGAGAAACATAACATTATACCAGTTTTCCAGTATGGACTTCAAGTTCCTCAGCTCATTAATGCACATCAGAGTTCCCAGCAGACAATGACCAGGCAGAGAATATATTACTTTTAGAGTTTCTCTAAATAAATAGCTGCCACATTAAAAAGAATATATATCTCAAATGGTCATGATTAGTGTTCAGTTTCCAGTTAGTGCTAGCCCAAGAACTCATAATACCTCCTCAATTTCATTTTGTGTCACAGAAGTGCAATGCCCCATAGCAAACTAGCTGTGGTGTAGGTTGATGAATTCTAAGTTTACTCTTCACTAATGTATTTTTAATTTTCAGTTAACCAAACAGTGGTTCAAAAATATATTGTGTCCCCAAACAGAAATTAGCACATGTTGGTACTTGATATTTGTTATTTTACCTTTGCAAGGACTCATATATATCCTTGACTTTTGCTTTGTAGTTTTACAAAATACAATTGTACAATTTTTTCACAGAGCATAGGAGAGTACAATTTTAAAAATACTCATGGTTCAATTTGGGAAAGTGAACTGATAGTTCAACTCATTCAATAAAAGTTTGGACACCTACCGTGTGCCTGATCCCATAGCTAATTTTTAACAACTGAAATAGATTAGTCTTTCTTTAATGTAGTTCTGCTAAAGGAGTTAACACAGCAAAAACGTCAAGTTATTTGAGAGGTTTGGGGGAAAAACACCTTACTTTTGCAAAGCCTACATTTGACATCAGCCTCAGAACATTGTGTCTCCCTAACATGATTGCAAAGCTTTTAGTTGCTTCTCCTACAATCTACAGATTTCAGGGATCTTGGTTTTATATACTTCATAAATGCATACATTTCACACATTTCTGTATCTTACTGACATGGAAGAAAGCAACTCCATATATGTGTACACCCTAAGGACCTTTTTAGATCTAAATTTATTTATTATATAGTATCTCTAACTAAGAACTAGACACTTTATAGCTTAAAAACTCATAGCTTTTTTTGTCCATACACTTAAAATGCTAGAGTGATCTCAAGAAACACTTTAGAAAATTTTGTTATAGTCTCCATAGTACCTATCACGGTGCTGAATACATAGATAACTCTCAGTAACTTCTCTTTAATTAATTTAAAGAAAATTTGTACAGTTTAATATGAGCTCTAAAATAGAGTTTCTGAGATTTATAACCCAACATAAATATTTAATAAAGAAGACCAAGGCCCTAAAATGGGAAGTACCTCAGGACCTTCCTTCAGAATTTTACATTATCATGCCTGATTTTATACCATTTCCCCACAACTCAGGAAATAAGTAAGTAAATCTATGATTTATTTACCAGCGTAAGCCATATCTACAGCAAAAATTAAGGCACAGTCCTATTAAAAACAAAGAAATTTTCACCAGATTTACCAAAAAACATATCTCCTTTCAGAGATTAAGGAAAATTTAAGTGTTTTGAACTTTATAAATATGTCAAATCATCTCATTCACAGTCCCTAGATCTTAGCCTTCATAGACATATGGTCTCCTGTGTGTACATATATTATGAAGAGAATGAAATCTCTACCATTAGCAGGGACCTCACAACTCTCTCAGATATTTGCAAGATATAAAAAGTGCAATCTTCCCATGTATCCATATGTATATTTCCTGAAAATAACAGGCATGGTTCATACATATGGAGAATATTTTAACATGCAAATGTGGTATACTATTCTGGTGCTTTCCCACAGTTTCAGAGTTTTCATTTAGAAATAGAAATAGTATTACCTTTCTGGCTTCTTTTATCATTTTCCGAATAGTTTCCTTAATTGTAAGTAGCTGTGCTCTTGGTGGATGAAAGAGGAGGTCTATGTGGGTACCCCCTAAGAGTCCCGGCATCACATATGGCCAGCCTAAGTCGAGATCTGGAGCTTCCACATCAGATTCAATGGGCCAATAAGTCCCTGAAGATGAGGTATCATCGCAGGAATTGTCAGTACCATGGATTGTACTTTGTTCAATTTTCTGGACATTTTTCAAAATATAATTAATTTCTTCCTCAGCTAGAAAGTCTGATACTCGCTCCTTGGCAAGAAATTCCTGGTATGCTTCTAGCCCATGTTCAATCAGCGTATCAATGGCTACGCGATACCATTCCTTGTAGTGAGGCTCAATGTAATTGTCAGATTTACACTCATCATTCAATGAGGACAGCAACGACGAAGTCTCCATGCTGGCAAGTGCTTGACAACAGCACTGTCAAATGTCCATTTGTGCAGTAGCAAGAGGTATCTGGGTGTTTGAAAAGGAGAAAATTAAGATCAGTTAGTGCTCTATAATCAAAGGTTTTTTGTTTTTTTTTGAAGAGGGAGGTCTTTTTTTTTTTTTTTTTAAACATATTTTATTGATTTTTTACAGAGAAGAAGAGAGAGGAATAGAGAGTCAGAAACATCGATGAGAGAGAAACATCGATCAGCCGCCTCCTGCACACCTCCTACTGGGAATGTGCCCGCAACTAAGGTACATGCCCTTGACCGGAATCGAACCTGGGACCTTTCAGTCCGCAGGCCGACGCTCTATCCACTGAGCCAAACCGGTTAGGGCTGTAATCAAAGGTTTTATAACCCATGTCAATTATTAGTTTTTACATTTACTCATTTCCATGACCTGTGGGTTAATATGACATACATTTCATATCAAAAGTGGCATTAATTGCACTATAATTCAAAAACTACCACAAATAGATTTTTTTTTACAGACTATTCCTTGATTTTCCATTTCCAAGGCCTCTACTTCCAGTTTTTCATCTAAGGAAATACACATTTCTTCTCTGACATCCAGAGAGTCCATCCTTCTTAGCTTTAATCTGATACTACACACTGTAGCATCAGTTTCTATAAGCCTATTTGATTCTGGTTTCAATAGATGTGTGTGTGTGTGTGTGTGTGTGTGTGTGTGTATGTATGTATATGTATGTATGTATGTATGTGTATATATATATGTATATCAGTAACAAGCCAGCCATTAATGTAAGTCTTCACTGAGTACTTGTTATGCATATAATCACATACTGATGAAACATAAAAAGCACAAAATACTTGCTTTCCAGGAATTTAGTAATTATCAGAAGAGGCAAAATGCACACACAAAGCTGTTTGTTACCGCTTTGAACACAGCCATATATTGCTAAGGGCCAAAATGAGTACTGCCTGCTGTCAATGCCTTCAGATAAAAGCAAGTAGAAATCTAAATGGAATACAGGAGTTATGGATATCCCTGTGTAGGGCGTGGGCTTCAGCTGAACCTGGGGTACTAAGTAAGAATACAATCACGTGGTAAGAATGAACATTTTCATCCCACACAAGACTGAAAAACACACAAAAAGCCCAGAACAGGTATGAGCTTGTACATTCAGGACTTAGTGAAAAAACGTGGTCTGCTAGAAAGCAGGTTCCTTTGAGTAGGAGTAGGAGATAACGCTGAATAGACACAACAGAGCCAGGTGTGGAGGGACACAGGAGATTTCTGTGACTCAACAAAACTTGTGTTTAAAACAATTAGTCTGGCAGTGGGGAGTGGAGGAGAGACAAGTATCTAGTCTTTCAGCATTCAAATACCCAGTGAAGAAGCGACAAGTGTATTCAAGAGATGATTCAAAGCAAGAACTCCTGGGTTTTGATAGTTTGACAGCGTAGAGGTAGTGAAGAAATTTAAGACATTAAGATAATTCAGGGATCTCTCCCAGGAATCAAAATCTGTCCATTCAAGCTCACACCTCATCCTTCACAAAGCCCCACAATGTTATGCATTCAATCACTCAGTGTGTGAGATACTGGATTGGCCTTTATCTCATTCAAATAAGGGCCTTTCCAGGTTTTGAAATCATGATCTCCATTGTGTGGATTGAAATAAAGTACAACTTGATGATGTGCTACAAATCCCAAAGGGCTAATTTGACCAAAAACATCTGTCAGTGGCCTGGCCCTAATTTCATTTATTTTTCATTTTTTAAATAATTTAAAAAAGTTTCCAATTACAATTGACATACAATATTATGTTAGTTTTAGACATTTATATAACTTACAAAGTAATCACTCGGTATGTTTAGTACTCATCTGAAGCCATACATAGTTATTAGAATGCAGGGTGGGGCAACATTAGGTTTACACGTTTTCGTATGGAAAGCCTGGCCCTAACTTTATTTATTTTTTATTTTTTTAAAATACATTTTATTGATTTTTTACAGAGAGGAAGGGAGAGGGATAGAGAGTTGGAAACATCGATCAGCTGCCTCCTGCACACCTCCCACTAGGGATGTGCCCGCAACCAGGTACATACCCTTGACCGGAATCAAACCTGGGACCTTTCAGTCCGCAGGCTGATGCTCTATCTACTGAGCCAAACCGGTTAGGGCCTGGCCTTAACTTTAAATTGTCCACTGAACTCAGCCTTTTCAGACTCAGGCCTACCAAATTTCAAATCAGATTTGGGAGGGTAACCTAGGAACCATTACCATTTGTTTATTCCTTAGCTCACAATATGTAACAGAAGCCACTAATCATACAAAAAACTTGAAAAGGAATGGACAATAGGGACACAAGTTTCGTTGGGAAAGGACCAAAAATGATCCAGCATTTACTAAGCAGAGCTGAGGAGCAAAATTAAGAGTCCAGTTTACTATTTCAGCAGAGACGATCCTTTCCCCATCTCTAGGCTCAGAATTTTCACTGTCACTCTAAAAATATCAAGAACCTAAAGATTAAATCTGACATAAGAGTAAAGACAGAATATGTTCATGCTACTGGCATATACTGTGTAGAGGCCAGGGATGCTGCTAAACACACATGACAGCCACCCATATTAAGGAACTAACTGGGCCAAAATGTCCAGGGTGCCAAGGTAATCTTCACCTTGCTCACTTCATATGCATGGCATCATACTACTAATTAATGACCTTTCAATGTTCATTAAAGTTCTGTTACACGTAGTATCCATTTGTAACAAAGAAAAAAAGGTTTGTATCTACTTAACAGAATCAATCCATTGATTGAAGTATACTTCCCTAAGGTTTAGTCAGGTGTGATTTTCATTTGGTAATTCTAGCCCATGACAGGACAAGCATCCAGTGGTTACATGAAAATCACATGTATTATCATGAAAATCAAATGGTAGGTAACTGCTGGTTGTTAAAACACACACACACACACACACACACACACACACACACCAAAAAACACAAAAAACCACATTATGTTTTCTCAGCACTTATTTCTTTTTAACAGAATCAATCCATTTGATTAAAGTATACTTCCCTAAGGTTTAGTCAGGTGTGATTTTCATTTGGTAATTCTAGCCCATGACAGGACAAGCATCCAGTGATTACATGAACATCACATGTATTATCATGAAAATCAAATGATAGGTAATTGCTGGTTGTTAAAACACACACACACACACACAAACAACATTATGTTTTCTCAACACTTATTTCTTAATTTTAAAAATGTGCCCGCAACCAAGGTACATGCCCTTGACCGGAATCAAACCTGGGACCCTTCAGTCCGCAGGCCGACGCTCTATCCGCTGAGCCAAAGCGGTCAGGGCTCAGCACTTATTTCTTAATTTTAAAAATTTAACTTTTGAATTCCCATAACATGTGGTATTAAAAACCCATTACCTATTTGGAAGTTAAAATGCATAAAGTACTTCTAAAAAATATGTGTTTGTTTTTGAGCTTCATCTATGCAAAATATACTTTACTACTGTAAAAAATTACTTCTTGAACTATGGGTAATCCAAGAAATCAGAGGACAAGAGAACTATTAATACAAAATAAAACCACAAAGACATAGTTGAAAAGTTAATCATGGAAGATACAATTGAAAATGAGAAAAAAGCAAAACATTATAGGCCTAACCAAATAGCAATGCCAGATACAAAACCGAAAAATACATGATAAAAAAAAAATGCAATAGCCCTGGGCATGGAAGTTGAGATAGCCTGTACAAGGGTTAAGATAAGAAATAAATACACTTGATATTGTCCTGCTAAAGAAGTAATACTCTGACCACTGTCTAGAGTTATGCATAAATTTGCATTTTTAGAATAACCAAAAACATACCAAAGGCTGTTTTGTGAAGGAACAATCTACAAAGAAATTTTAAAGGAGAACAGCAGGGTAATGGCACTTGCATGAATGGGTACTGCAATAAAATAGCACTTGTATTTAGACACAGACTTAATATTGAACTCTTGAGAGTTCAATCACTGAACATTTGAAGGGCTTAAATTGAGGACAAAAATTAATTGGGTATACTTTTAGACATATAAAAGCACATTATTTTATTAATAACCATTAAATACTCCTAGAAAGTACATGAACATACATGATAGAGTTAATGAGTAGAGAAAAATAAAATCTTGCTATGATGGAAAAGCTGAACAAACTGCTAGGCTCACCTACTAGTTAAGTGACTCATTCCAGAAAAATAGTTTTGTATAAAAAGAGCTCACATCCATGCCTCAAAACCATTACAGACTGCACTTGATATTAAATGTTTAATGTCATTTTTGGAAAGTATAATTTCCAAATGTTGAATATGTAAATACAAAGGATACAAAACAAAGTATAAAAAAATTAGATTTCAAAACAGTTTGGCAGTTTCATTTATAAAAACTAAATATGCAAATGCCATGTGATACAGCAATTGCACTCTTGGAATTTATCCCAGAGAAATAAAAAAATTTACCTTCACTCAAAAACTGTCCATTAATGTTCTAATGGCTTTACTCATAATAGCCCCAACTAGAAATAACTCAAATGTCCTTCAAGAGGTGAATATGAAACAAACTGTTGTACACTCATTCTATGGAATACTAATCAGCAATAACATGAACAAGCTATCGATCCATGTTATAGCCGCCCTAGATGGATAGCCAGAGAATTGTGCTGAGTAAAAAAAAAAAAAAAAAAATCAATCCCCAAAGATTAGATGCTACATAATTCCATTTATATAATATTCTTTAAATGACAAAATTATAGAAATGGGGATCAGATTAGTGGTTGCCAGGGTTTACCTCACTGGGTCATTCTAAGAAAGGTGTGTAGAGGAGGGAGAAAGAAGTTACTCCAAAAAGGTAACAGGGATGATCTTTGTGGTGATGGAAATGGTCTGTACCTTGACAGTATCAACGCCAATGTACTGGTTGAGATATAATATTATGGCTTTTGCAAGATGTTACCACTGGGGGAAACTGAGTAAAAGATACAAGGAAGCCCTAGCTGGTTTGGC